GAATTTATGAATCTAGAATTATTTTTAATTTAATTATAATTAGAGATTTTTTTTAATTCAGAAATTAATTGTTTTGTACGTGTATATATATAATCCTTATTAAAAATTAATTTTATTACTAATTTGTAATATTGATTGTAAGAAATGGATAAAAAAATATTAGAATATTATTCTATATTATTTTTTATAACTTTTTTTATAACATAATTAAATTTTTGCTCAGTATTAATGAAAAAATATCAAGATTATGTTCCACTTAAAAGTGTTTCATTATAAAAAATATTATATTTAACCAGTAATATTTAAAATATAATTAAAATATTAATACAGAATCACCATCAAAAATCATTTTTCGTTGATCGATGATATCTGTTTATAATATGTTGGCAAAATCCGTTTAGCATTTATTTATTTTATTTTGCAACATTCATTTTGGATTTAAATAGTCATATATTACAAATTTATTAATATAAATATATATGAACATACTGTTAAATAAATAATGAAGAAAATTTGGATAATAGTAGAAATTATATTGATTATTGTGGTCAATTTCGATACAATGAAGCTTCAACATATAATCATTAAAATCATGATCAACTTATGCAATAGTATAGCAATTCCTCTATTTTATAAATATTATTAAAAATTTTATTATACCGTAAACAGTATTGTGCCTGATAATGTGTAATATATAAATCATTTACAATAAAATAAAATTTTATTTATTCTATTATATAAGTGTTTATATTTAAACAATCTTATCGAACATTAAATAATTCGGATCATTATCAATTATTTTAATAACCATAATAATTGTTCGTCAGTCTTATGTTATTACAAATTTTCGTAGTAAAAATTACAAAAACATCCATATAATATACAATTCCATCTGATGGTATTGTATGCTGATTTTTAGTGTTATGAGTTTTCTGCATTACACGGCACCAACGATTATTGAGTATTTCAACAAACAAAATACAAAAGGGATACAGAGATTTATTTATAAAGAATAGACGTGCATTCAATGCAAATAGATACGCAGTATTTGCATCTTAATATTGTATATGTGATGGGCTGCCCAAGACTAGTACCAATTGGAAGGAAGAAGAATATTCTCCAGATCAGGTTGAATAATATAATTTTGTTACGTCCATACAACATACACTAGTAACGTATTTTCATACAATTTAATTTCACGAGAATCGAGTACTTATGAATCAAGGATATTTCCAGAGTAAGTATCGCACGTTTAATTTTCTTTTAATTTGCTCTATTCGAACAGTATTTTTTTTTTTTTTTTTTTCAATGAGGCTGATGAATCAGTTACCGGTTAATGCTTTATTTATATTAGTATTATCAAATATAAGCAAAAATTGCGTTAAATTTGTGCTACGGAGTTAACAGCGATTTTGTGAAGTAATGGATCGATCATTTATTAGACTAAAGCAGCCGGGAAAGCATTTAAGCAACATTCGTGTATATTTGACATTTGTATGTAATTATCTGGAAAACTATGTCCATTTGATACTGGTCATGTATTTCGAGGAAATTTATTAGCTAATAGAAAGTAGTAAATTAACAATCCAATGAATTATCTCGGTATATCATTGTCTATCAATTTATATTTTTATATCTCGTGATATTCTTTTTTGGACGTTCAAATTGATCGGACGGACTCATCTAATGCCCACCCTACTCTTAAATTTTCTTTATGCATATGCTGTAAAGTCTTGAAAGTGAATAGAAAAAATATGAAGAATCAAAGGTCTTAACTTATGTATAACCATCATCTGATATATCGATCAATCCTTTCTTATATATATATATATATATATATATATATATAGTATTATATAGTAGTTATATAGTATTATAAGTAGAATATATAGTAGTCGTACAGACTACTGTACAGATAAAACAGAGTACATATATATTTATATATATATAGCGGATAAATATATGACCTTCATCGTATACCAACAGACTCGCCATGACTATGATTAAGATAGATACACAAAGATAATTTTTTCACTTTAAAACACATGACTGTCTAATTTACATTGTCTAATTCTCTTTAATTACTAATTCACTTCAATCACCATTATTTCGAATAATATGACTGACAAAGAGCGAGTAGCAGAGAAAGCTCGCTTATCAAGATAAATCTAACGGTGTATCTGTCATGATTGTAGAGAAAAAGTTCCACTCAGCTCAGTGATCTACTTCGTCAAAGAGCAAATTTTATATACGACGTACAAATAGGAAGCAAAATACGAGAAAAAAGGGATCAGCGATGAGATTTCATGACCCGAGAATGAAATTCGAGAGAGCCAGCTAAAGTAGCGACCACTCAATTTGTACGCATGGCAAAGATCCACCCCCGTTGCGCTCATATAACAGCGAAAATGAGTGGTGCATCGTATTAGCTCACCATTCTCTTTAGACATAATCATATTTCGTTAATTATGTAAATGATTAGCAGCCGATCGAGCCATCAACTGACCCGGAGGTGTTGGATGCAATCATTGGCATTCAAAATATCGTAAATTGTAGGTAAGAAAGAACGGCAAGGTAGAGCACTGTTTTATCCAAAAAATTTTAAATTCAATATAAAATTGTATTTTTATTTTAATTGGTTTTGTAATTATAATTACTATTGAGTTTTTAAATTTATGTTTAGCATATTATTTTTTGTGCCTATTTTTTTTTTAACAATAATAGTATACTTACTTTTAAATACGTTTAGTCAATTATGAATCTATGTAATTAAAATTTATAATAAAAAGTGTATGCATCATTATAAAAAATAATTCAGTGGTACAAATAAAAATGAAAGATTCACAATTTCTATATATATTACAATAAATTATATAAATACAATGATTTTATAAAAAATTTCTGGAAATACTATATTAAAATAAGAATTTTTAAAATTCTGAAAAAGATCTCTCTCTCTCTCTCTCTCTCTTACTATTTATATGTATATATATAATTATATTATGTAGAAATTATTTTACACCGCATATTTTTAAATATGATTTGATAATCAGGCTGAAATAATCGGTAAAACTGTATTAAAGTAAATTTATAGTAAATGAATAAATATAATATCGGGGACATTTAGAAATTTTTGAAAATTATTATGTATATGTATATTATTTCATATTATACATATTATCAAATTTTTAAAATTTTGTTAAAATTTAAATGAAAAAATAGGGCTATATGCTGCAAGTTTTTCATTTCACATTAAAAAATTTCATTACCAATGAATTATTTGAATATAGTAAATACGGTTAAATCGAAAAAAATATAAAATTGACTATGTACGCATTCCTTTGTTTATTTGCTTTCTTAATTTACATACTACAAAAGCTTCTATGAGGATGTCAGTGTAGACACAAATACACATATTCGTAAACAAAATAATTATTTACACCGATATGAAAAATTCATATTTTAAAAATCACAGGGACAAAATACTTTATTTTTCTTCGTTAAAATTCTTCTTAAAAATTTATGTTACAATTTTCTTCAAAAATATTTCTTATAAAAAACGAATATTTATTTAAAACTTATAATCATTTTTTCGTTATTGTTATTTTCACGAAAACGTGTAAACCTTATATCTTTATAATTATTATTCATATAGGTACATATTATATTTGATAGAGATTAATAATATAGTTATACAAGCACAAAGAAACTTATTATTTACTAGAAATACAGCGAAAGAATTAATACAAAAACAAAAATACGTCAATGCTTTCGCCTACAATTATTTTCAATTATAATTACTATTTAATCCTAAGAATTTTACATAATCTGTTATACAATAATTAATCTCTAGAATTATTTATACCTTTACACAACTGAAATAAACACTTCAAGTTCAAACGGATATAAAATAATTATCTACTTCGGTAGTATTGAACTTAATTTTATCAAGTTCATATTATACAGAAGATAGAACAAGCTTTACACATCCAGACATCAAAATCATCAACATTAAATTAATCTAAAGTACTTAGCGTACTATACCATTAATATAATCCTGTAATTACTTTGTCTATTGTTTAATTTTACTGCTATAAATATTATTACATTTTCATTACATATATTAAAAATTAAAATTTGATTAATATTTTCTGATTGTCATATAATATAAATAATTTTCATATATTCAAATAGGTATCAACCAGATATGAATTATGAAATATATGTGTATATTGAAAATTAAAGAAAAAATTATTTCTCTCCTTGGTTTTTAATCAATTTTTAATTTGACAAAAATTTACGCTGAGAATATTACATAAAAGTAAGCTTGTTCCAATAGATTATTTAACAGAATTAAACTCATCGACTATCTTCCCATGAAAATTATTGATTACATATAATGTCAGTAAGTAAAATAAGCCATTAAATCGCTTATAATAATAATAATAATAATAGTAACCAATTAATAATCAAGAATATACTTAGTATTTAAGAATTATTGGTAAAGAGTTCATAATATTAAGTTATAGAAATGGAAATGAACTATCGATTACTAAAATATGGCAAAATACATAAAGCTTCACGTAATAATTATGATGAATCATATATTCGATAGTTTTGTGAAGAAATAATGAAATTATGATATTTATAAATTCTGTTAAAAAAGATACAAAGATTTTCTTAGTCGATGAAAAATTGATAATTATTTATTCACAAGTCCGTAAACAATGTGACATCGACAAACATGATGAAGAAAAATAAGTTTTACATCATTTTTTTGTATCGTTTTTTTTTTTTTTTTTTTTTGTATTATGACAATAAAAATAATACTTGTAAACTTTCTTGTAAATTTTAAAAATATAAACACATTCGATTTCTGTCAATTTTTGTAACTGAAGTTGAGCAGCGGAAAAAATAATTTAAATTTCACTCTTCTAATTAATATTACAAAACTTTTTTATGTACACATTATTCATAATTAGAGATAAAAAATATTCTTTGAATTCTTATAATTAACTTCAGGAAATTAAAAATGTACGCCCGCGTAATGAAAATGTCATACAAAACACAAATACGTATCTATTAATCGCTTTTGTAACTTCTGGCATAATCATGAGTAACAGTACCATTCGTGTAACCATTGCTTTTAATCATTCCATTTGTAATTTTACTCTTTTCCCTTGCAATCAAGACATTTTCTCTTTTGACTTGGTAGTTTGCTACGTAGAATGAACCAAACAGATAGATAAATAGACCCGCATTGACGATGAGAAGGAATGATAATACTTTCGGATAATTGCAATCCGTAACCATTACCTGTAGAATACAATTTTTTGTGTAGATTAAAAAAATTCACTTTATTGAATAAAATATTTACATTTGTATAAAAAAAAATCGATAAAGCCATCAAAATCATATCATTCTATGAATATTTAAATATTTTTATTATTATTTTTTTATGAAATTCGCATACTCGTATTCCAGTACGTAATACTGCATGTCGTATGACGTTTATATCAGTGTGAAATGTAATTGTAACTTTTGAATAGATGAAAATATAATTATATTGTCGGAAATAAATTAACAATAATGGTACCTGCATATTATGCACCAAAATTATACTGAACTGAACTAGCTGAAGGGAAGTAAGATGCTTCTTCCACCATAGGTACTTTTGCATCTCAGGTCCAAACGCCGAAAGCATGTAGTAGGCATACATAAGGATGTGGATAAAACTATTGATGAGACCAAGTAACGTGGCATGACCACCAGGCACGAATCGCACTCCTATCCAAGCACAAATTGGCATCACTGCATGATGGTATAGGTGAAGAAATGAGATCTGGCGTTGTTTTTTGCGCATAACGAAGAAAACCGTATCGAGGAGCTCTATAAGCTTGCAGATGAAGTACATATATACGGCGTGTGCCATCTGTATTTTAAAATTGTGTCTTATTACTTTTCATCCTGTGCAAAGAAAATCGAATGCAAGGCTTTCGAGGACTTGGGCATTCCTTTAAATGTGAAACGGCTAAAAACTGTGTTTGTATGTCGAGAAAGCCAAAGCCTTTACATTACGTCATTATTACCCTATTATGCATTGTCAGAGCATATACATCAAATAATAAATATCGAAATTTGTATTTTTTTTTGCATTCTCCACTTTCATAAAGAGACAATTTTCATGAAATTTAAAACATTTAAATTTTCTTCATAAAATTCTTAATAAAATTCTTTACTTAATAAGTAAAATAGATGAAGTAATGGTTTCAATTCCACTTACATTGTAGTTTTTTAAGATATTGAAACGGAATACAAACAAAATTAATTTCATATCTTATTCTAGAATAATCTAAGGACATTTATAATTATTATATTAAAAAATATATATAGATAGCCAATAATTGGTCGTTGTTAGCTATTGTCAATAGATATTATAGAGTAAACGAAAATAATTGTAATATAGCTCATAATAATTGGATTTTTTTCAATTAATAATAATGAAAATTGTAATATAAGTAATTAAAAATTCTTAATTTTAATGTCGATAGGAACATTCGTTTAACAACGATAATTTTATGCAAGAGACAAGTCCTAAGGCTATTATCTATTACAAGAATAGATTACATTATTCGTTCTCTAATTTTTCTTGTTCATTTCATCAACTACTGCATCTTACCATTTCACGTTCGATGAAACAAGTTCGTTCCAACACTTCATTTAAGAAATAAAAAAATAATAACATAAATAATATTTTAATATGACATTTAACTTTATGATATCGTTATAATTAAAATTTTTACGATTCGATTAAAATATCTAAATGCAATAAGAAATAAAACTTACCCTTAAAGCTTGTGGATTGTTGGAATAATCGATAGGTTGACACTTGTAGCTATAATCATACAACCATCCGGCCATCAACCCTTCATAGACAAGATACATGCTAAGTAAAACTTGGGTAAAATTGTAAAAGATGAGCGTATTTCTGAGATCGAATGGTTTCTTATCGCGCATAAGTCTAGGACCTATCGATACACTGAAGTACAAATATAACAGGATGATTGTTAGGATTGGACCAGGACCTGATACCAGTAACCAGTCTTGCGTTCGAGGATCTGCATAATCGATGTTCAAATTAGTATATTAAAATGCACAAATTTCTATAAGTTTACAAATTTATCAAAGTAAAATAAATAAAATATCATATTAGTTGATGTAATTACAGTATAAAGGAATTTCCTTCAAAATCTTGTTTATAAATTAATATATATATATATATATATATATATATATATATGTGTGTGTGTCGATTTACTTATAAATAATGACTAAATTTATAAAAAAATTTTCCATTTACATAATTTTTGTAATACGTGAATTATGTCAATTTAGAAAAGTAAAAGGTTTACCATTTCTATTGTACATGAGATCCTTATAATAATTCACGATGGATGCCATATTAACTATAGATGTATTTAAAATGTTTACTGAAATCCTAAAATAAAATAAAAATATTAATTTACAATATTTTTAAATGATGATTTGATATATTATATTTTTAAATTAATAAACTAAAATTTATAAAAATTGAAAATAATTTGTAATTTGTAAATTATTTGTTTACTAAAAATTTCTTTATCAAAAATCAATATCAAACTACATAATCTTTTATGTACACAAATTGTCTAACTTTTAGTAAGTTTATTAATAAAAATTAATAATCAATCAAGGTTCAATCAATGTTTCCGCTAATATTAATATTTTAATGTCTTTTGAATGAATTATAAATTAATTTCAATGAATTTTTAATTAGAATAGAATTTGAAATTAATAAATACTCTTATTGTATTGTTTTCTATGTTTTGAAACTAATGTACAGGTGACATATACAATGAATATTTCAATTTTAATAAATCACAACAAGTGCGCGAATCTTCTAAGATTAATATTTCTTGCCTCAACAATGTTAATGTAATGCTCAGGAATAAAATAATGATAAATAAATGTACATTGATGTATCCCTGCAGATTTTGAAAGTATGACTCGAGATATTTGGTCATATAAAACATTCATTTTGTACAACAGCTTCAAGTTTAAATCAAGGTGAACAAGATTTTAGTACACAAGAATTGCTTTCCAAGATTGCTGTCAACATCTTGGCAACACTTACTTTTGGATCTGCGTCATTGAATACTTGTACTTTTTTTCACTGTAAATAAGGAATAATATATCTTCTGCTTATTTCGTGCTTTCTTTTACCCTTTGTATTCTTAGATGGTTTGATTCTTATATGGATATGATTTGAATTACATATGTCCATCTTATCTTATTCATATGTCAATCATATACTTGTAACCTATATATTCTTAACTCTTTATTTTACATTAAAGAATTATATAAAACAATTTTTTCACAAATATCCGATATTATTTGGTAATATGCTGTCGAACATTCTTTAGTTTGTTTTCATAATTAAACCATTTATAAAATGAATGTGTTTTCTAACATTTTTATAATTAACTATAAGTTAAATTTCTTATTATTCTATAAAATTTGATCAATAAACGCACTATAAAAGGATTTTTTTATAGATTCGTCTACTGAAAATCATGAATTATTTACTATTTTTTTTTTCAAATTATTAAATCATATTAATAACAATATTATTCGTATCGATTTTTATTATTTTTTCTAGTATTAAGTAACATTGAAATCATTAATTATCCGAAGTAGGAGATAACAAATATTAATTTGCTAGTTAATTATATAGTGAAAAGTTAATATTAGTATTGACATATTTATGTGTATATTCACATTCAAATCTTTATATTGTAATAAAAAATAATCATAGTTAAAAAATATTTTATTTAATTGCTTTACAGTGTAATCAAATAGTATTGGAAATACTGATTAGGGAAATTTACAAATTGCATAAGAAATTTGTATCTTTTATATAAAGTATATTTATATATGTAATAGCTATTCATTTATTCTGATTTTTTTTATCAGATTATCAATCAAAATATAAATATAATAGAATATTAATAAACTGAAAATAGTGATTTGTAACATTGCAAAAAAGTATGATCTTAAAATTGTTAGGGTAATTAGTATGAATAATAGTTCAATGTTTTTTTTTTTTTTTTAGTAAAAAGTATTTACAATGTTTCTATTATGAGAACAAGTAATAATTCATTAAATATTATTTTACTATCGTCAATTATTTTCATTATTCATAAAGGTAAAAATGTAATTATAAACACTATACTAAAGATTAATAAAAACTTATTAATGTTGTTTTGTAAACATATTACATTTGTACGTTGAAAACAATTTAAGAATTTTTTTTATTATATTAGTTAATAAAAGATCAATTATATTAAATACTAAAAGATCAAAGTTCTTTTCAATTTGATAATATTTGTAAAATTATTTTTTTTTTATTTAAAATGTACGTTAAGTTATATAAAGTTATCGGTATTTTAAATAAAGGTTATTGAATCTTAATAAAAATATTTTTATATTTAAAAAAAAATATATTTATATATAAATGTATAAGTGTTATTACAAAACCATATTTTTAAAAGTTAGAGTGGAATATAAATATTTTTGATCCAATTAGCGTCAAATATTAGCGCGATGTTTAATATTAAATTAAAAATTGTTTTGAAAATTATTAAATCATTAAGTATTTTTATCATATGTACAATAGAAATACTACTTTACAATTTTTTTAGTAAATTATTTTTAATATTTGTATTTCTTAAATGAATATATTATAAATAGGTAATGCAAATTTTCTTAGCTTTTAAGATAAATAGATGTCGATTTCTTTTATTATTTTATAAAACTCATCTAAAAACTATTAGGTACATTTGATATCATTTGATTATTTTATTTAATGTATTACTTTATAAGGGAAAATGTTACATAAAAGTCAATTTTTAATTTAAATGTGCAATTAAATTAATAATTGCATGGAAAAATACATTTGAATCGTATATCTTTCTGGTATATATTTACTTATAAACTAATTTTATCCTTTTACATAATTTAAACCTTAATTTAGTCGTTTTTAATATAAAATAAGTATGATAAGGCATAAATTAAGTATGCTTAATTACTTGTTTTTTAATAAAATTTGGACACGATATAAATTAATTCATACATCATTTATGAATAATTAAACTTTTAAAATTAATATGCATTTGATAAGTAATACTTTCTATCGGATAATTACATATAGGATTACGGAAATTGTTGCATTAATTTGATGTCAAATAAATTTATATATTATACCTACTCATCTCAATAATATTTCAATAATAATTGCATTGACGAATATATTTTCATTGGTTTTTGTTTTCCATAAATGTGTAGAAATCATGCGATTTTAATGACTGCACAGAAAAAAGAGAGTTGGAGGTGGATAAGGTATTTGATGATTCAACTGCATATTAACTGATTTGGTCATTTTATTTTATTTTATATCGTATTCTGTGTTATATATACAAATAAACATGTTTTTCAATACTATGAGTATTGTTAAAATATTTACGCTGCAGTGTTAACTCTTACTTTTTTACATTTTTCAATGTTGAATGTATTCTTACAATACTATTTGTGGATTTATATGAAGTATACTTCAAATTTTTAAATGGAATTCTTGTAAATGCTTGCTTTTCAACATATTTTGTATTTGTAATACAGCTTTTTAAATATTTTCATATCATAATTATTAGTAATATATACTATAATATATATTAAATTAGTAATATTATTATGATCTTAAAACATTATTTAAATATATAATCTAAATTCTATTACGCATAAATTTTATCCTTAATTTTTAAGATTAAATGTATTTTCTATTTGGAAGCTGCAGTTATTTTCATATATCATTAAAAAAAATTGACTTCGTACTCAAAAAACTGCGAAAAAAAATACTTTTCTAAATACTTTATAAATTAGCCTTAAGTTTTATATAAAATTATTCGTATGTGCGGATACGCACGCACACACGCACACGCGCGCGCCCGCACACACACTCAAATTTAAATAGACAAACTTGTTTTTGTGCACAGAGTGTTATGACGAATAATGTCTCTAAGCATAAAAATGTTTAATTCACATTAAAATATTAAAGTTATTGTGCTATCATAACTATATTATCAACTAGGATGTACATTAGGTATATAAATGCCTGCCTAATTTTATGATAAATTTATATTACAACCTTTCAGTTCCCAAATCATAACGTTCATAAAATAACATGTATCTTATTTAAAAAGCGAAATATTAATATTTAAATTCAGATGAATGCTTTGAATAGTATAATGAAACTAGAAATACAGTTCTCATGTGAGTAGAGCGAGTTTTACTATGGTATATCATAAATCAGTAAAAGATGTAAATTTATAACGTAATTGGACTTTTCTACGTGCTTATGGCTAGTCTGTCATTTTTGCCTAATAAATAGCAGTGTATACGCAAGATAATTGTACATTAGTAGGAGAATCTTGATGCATCGTTGAGTTTCTCGGACATGCGTTACAAAAAATACCTCCAAGATAATCCTACAACCATACCGTTATTTCAATTGCACCTAACAATTATACGATAAAGTTATGCGATTATGTAATTCACATATTTTCATTTATACAAGCTAATTAGAAAAAGAAATGAAAGGCAAAATTTATATTTCAATTAAATGAAGTACGCTTCTGTTATACGCAAACTACTATAAAACAAAATTTATTGACCGTTGAACATAATAGTTCATTCAATAAGTGCAATGTCCTTTCTTTGGCGAATAAGTATTTATTTTAAAATTTCTTTCGAACGAGAGTTATATTTTTCAAATGATAGTCATAAATTTCGTATAATTTTCAGTAATAATTTATCATTTTAACATTATCTTGCGTCCAATTGAGCGATAAATAAATCAAAATTATTATAAAAAAGAAAAGTTCACTTATAATTCGAACAAAATATTTTTTCGTTCTCTATATTGACTATTTTGAGAGCTTTATTAAGAGCTTAATTATTAAAAGCCTAACGGTAAATCATACTTTAAATAATATCAAAATAATAATAATAATAATAATAATAATCAAATAAATAGTAGCAAAAATTATAAACAAGTCGAGCAACTTTCATAATGGGTAAATAGTCGACCTCAAAACACATTTCTTAAATTTCTATTGCATTATCACTGTCTCAGTACGTACGCATTCAAGATATTAAATCATAAATTGTCATTGTTTAATAATTTTAATGTTATATTAATATATGGAATGTTATCTTATACAATAATTTTTAATTTGTGTTAATATATATATATATATATATATATATATATATAAATGTCTTTATAAGTAATATAATATAGTTCCTTACAGTTAATTATAGATTTTATCGATATATGTAATTAAAATTGTCGTACCACACGGATAAGATAAATTATACCATAATTATACAATAATGTTTCGAATAAAATAGTTACTAGCTACACGGACATTACAATATCTTCTTAAACTATGTAATAACTTAGTAGATAATTCAAATAAAATTTAAAGAATTAATTTATTAACTGACAATCAAATTTGTTAAATTAAATCCACAAATTGTGGCATTGTTTTACTAGCAAATGATACTTATTTAAAAAGAAAGTAATAAAACAATATGAAATAACATCAATAATAAATTATAAAATAAATAGTAATTTAAATAATAAAATCTAGAAAACTAATAGATATATGGAATTTAACATTACTTTTACATACATTAAATAATTAATATTTAGTTATTAATTATAAACTCCTATGTAAATTATTAAAAAGATAAAAATAATTTATTAAATAATAATATAAGATTGTGATTAAACTATATTCTAGAAAATATTTTCATCACAAATAATTGTATATTAATCAATGATATAATTATATTATCCTTTATAGACTATTTTAAACAATTAACGATTTCATTCGGAAAAATTTATTTTACATATACCTATTAATGTGTATCATAATATCTATTCATATTATATTCTGATAATTTATTACATCGTATTAATACTAACAATAATGAAAGATTATTGATAAAAATATTTATATTTGAACACATTTATATTTATATATATATATATATATATTTATAAGTCTTTTTGTAATGTGATGATGTGTATATAAAAATTAATAATTTATTGAAAATTGAATTTAAATACTTCAATGCAAAGAGAAATTTTATTTAACGGAATGAAAAACAAAAATTTTTCAAAACTTTGATAAATATTTCAAATAGTTGTATACTTCATTTGCCAATTATCTAAATATCTTTGTCAAATGTTTTGAAATTGAGCCTTCATTTGCTTGTTTTAAACTAATAAAATATTTTAAAATACTTTTACATTATAATACTAATTATTATCATTATATAAATTTTTTAGATAAATGGAAAGAAAATCATAGAATTTTATCGAATTTAAGAAAATTACGTTCGTTAATTATAATCGATGAATTTTCAAAACTATTTTATTGTAAAATTATGTACAACCATAATAAAGGAATTTTTAACGAAAAAGAATTAATAATACAGATTAACAAGAGCGTTTAGCGTATCGCGTGCTTGAATAAACATAATTGAACAAGATTTAATTTTTGAATGTTATATTACAGAATTCGATAAATACACGGTGACCTTGTTAAATGATAATACCGAGAAAGTCAAGCTAATATACGGATGAGCGTGAAAAAGAAAAATAAACAATGTCTAGCTGAGTAATAGCATCGATCACAACAAAGACTAACCTGAAGCTCTAAGTGACTCTTCTACCCTCCCGCCAACCGACAGGAAAAGGACAGATGCCTTCACTCAATATATTCAAGGCTAGCTAACTATACCCTTTTTTGTACTCCCGCGAAACACTGAGGCGGTAATACGCGTGCGCTCTTGGACGCATCCGATCTCTCGAGCTCTGGACCACTGACTGAAGGAGCAATCGCTCGTGTCTCGCATTGCCACTGATCCGCCAACTAAGAGAAAGATCGGCGGTTTTCACGCGAGTACTTATGGTTGTATGCAAGTGTGCGCGGTCAAACGAGTGTCAGGAAACTTTTTCCCACTGCCAGTTGTCAGCTTTTCATGTAAATATAGATACGGAAATCACTTCTTTAATTCCCTTTCCGTCTACACTCTCTCCGCCAATTCATTAGATGAGAAAAATTTTTACATACTAATTACTTCATTTAAGCATCTGGATTCTCATCGTTTGGAAATAATATACAGAAAATTAGCTGGTACAATTCAATACAATAAGAAGAAATAATATTTGTTATATGCGTTTATAAGGGAATTAATACAATTACTTTGTATGGAAATCTTTTGATAATGACTTCATTATCACAAAACGGTAGTTAAAATTATTTACTCGAATGTATGTCTATATTAGACTAAAAGAAGATTTTATGGCTATCATTATGGCATTGTCCGATACGTACCTTTTGTATTTACTGACTACTAATTTAAACAAAAACAAAACAAAAAACAAAAAAACAAAAAAAAAACCAAAGAAAAAAAGAAAAATTCTCATACCACAATATAACTTTATATTAGCAATAGTAATAAGGACTTGTGTAAAAATTAAATTTTAATGCATATCGAAATCAATATAAATTGTTTTTTATGAATATACGTATTATATAGTAAAGGACCAAAAAACATTACCACATCGTCCTATCTCCTACTATTGATAATGATTAAAGAATAATACAATATCTTAAAAATGACAGTTTTCTTTTAAATAAAAATATAATAGTTGTTGTAGCATTGTTGTTGCATTAAAATATAGTAATAAATATAATTTTAAATCTAATTATTTACCAAAATTTTTCCTATTTATTTATAAATATATCTTTCGTTATGTATATTAAATTAACAAAACGATTTTATCATTTTATAATGTTGCATTTTTGACAGTTTCTAGAAAATAAAAAAAAATTATATTGTATATCATTGTAATATGTAATGAATAATTTGTTTTTCTATTTAAAAGATTTAATTAAAAGCAATTCTTATATTATGAGAAGGAATAGTAACGTTTACCATTGAAAATATAATACTTTTTAATTTGGAGCGTTTGAAAATACAAAACTCAAATATGTTTAACCATCTTCGTTTAGACATATTTGATTAACCACATTCTTAAATCTTTTTTATACATTTTATATAAATTTTATATACATTTACATATCTATAATTAGTTTAATTAATTTGAATTATTATCTAAAAATATTTAAATTTATTATGTAATATTCGCCTTAAAAGAAACTTTTAGCTTTTACATATTTGTTTAATGAAGATTTCGATTACCTTGTATGGATAATAGGTCAATTTTAACCTATTACTTAAGAAAATAAAATTAACGACAAAATATGATGAAAGAAAAGATTTCAGCTGGTACATTCACTCGTATAGAAAATATATGATATTATACTTTTTTTTTTACTTTTAATGAATAATCCGAATGAGTAAATGATATCTCTATCAGTTAATTCATTTATTTATTAAGTAAATTTATAAGTTTATGTAATACACAATTTAGTTTTACGATATTCAATTATATATATATATATATATATATATATATATATGCATACATAAGCTTGAAAATATTCGGTACAAATATCCATAACTAAGATCATAAAATATTATATCCATAAGAACAATACAATTATTACAGTACAATAATTCTAATATAAAATACAATTAGTTGATTTATACGAATTAAATTGCACTACTTTACTTTATGACTTATGTCGAAAAAAAATCAGCGTACTAAAAAATACTTAATATTATTAAAATTCAATTACAATTTAGAGTGTATACTTATTCTAATTCTAATAATTTTAAGAACCAACAAGTAATTGACGTTTGAAGATATCGAAAATTATTTAAGAATTTTTGAAAATTCATTTCATTACAGAATCCCTCACTAAATATAAGCGTTTAAAATTTAAAATAAATTCTGATGAATTTTCAGAGACGTCATATAACAAAAAAATTATGAATATATTTAGAAGTATTTTTTTCTTTATAAAATTGCATTTATATATATATATATAAATAAAAAATATTGATTTATTTAATACTATAATTAATTGAAAAACAAAAATTTATACAGTATATCCTACAATATATTCATCTTATAATAATAATAATAATAATAATAATAATAATAATAATTCATTTGAAAAAAGCAAGTATGTATTTCATGTACATCACTCTCTTTGTCCTGATAATAGAAAGTTAAATTAACTGTAGACCTTGCTTACTCATTTTCCATTAATCTCGACTAAATATCATATTTTTGCGTAGTCAAATTTGCATAATTAGCAATTCTCTGTCATCTCTTATTTATATTTAGAAATCATGTTGCGCGAACAGAATTTACAAAAATATAATAACATTTATTATTTGTTAAAATCTAATGACAATATCAAAATTCGATAATTATCAAAAATATATCCATATAAAGGTATAATAATTATTTAATACTTATATTGCTTTCGTGGCAATAATTGTATAACTTTTTATAATATATAAATCAATTCCCTATTACTTATAATAAATTTTAAAAGGTTTTTATAAATATTTCCTATTCAATCTTTATATTGTAAAGCATAATGTACATTGGATGTGTAGTATGTATAGGTAAGATTTGTTTGTATTATTTGAATGTATAAGAGGAAAATATAATATTTTTAAATGAAAAACTATTGTAGATTATGCCACAGATGTATACAAAAATGTTTGTGAAAAATTGTGGCTTAATTTCAAGTCGAAAATATACATTTCTTAGTTAATTACTGGAAATAATAATAATACATAATTAGGGTCTCACAAAATACATAAAGTGCTCTCTCTCTCTCTCTCTCTCTCTCTCTCTCTCTCTCTCTCTCCGAGAGGCATTTGATATTTAATCGCAATTACAAGCAATTACAAACAATTCCTTCAGAATTCATGTAATTTCAAAAGTCGTTCCTCGTTCGTTCATTTATATATTTTCCTCGTTATATTTATATATTTTCATTGATTTGTATAGTTATAGAGTTATGTCAATTTTACGTTTATCTTCTATTTTGATAATTAAATTATTCTTTAGCTCAAATCCACTGCTGGATGACCTTGACCGAAAAAAAAAAATTCAATTATTTTTTTCAATGTTTGATTGACCTTGAAACATAATTTCATCTTTCATGTAAAAAAGCTATGTATTTTAATATCTTACAATTACAATGTCTTGTGGAATTTGGATTTTTAAATTATATTGTAATAATTGCAAAGGTAGAATGTGCATTTTTCGATCTACATTTTATATAAACAGTTTTGCTATAATAAAGTCTACATAAAAGTTAGTATTTTTATGTTTTAGTAATTTTCTAATATATATTTCTTATCTATTATTCGTTATTAATTTCCTCAATAAGAACGCCTATTTTGACGAAACAATAGGATAATTTGAACCAATTTACTTATAAAAAGAAATTAAATTATAATAAAATAAATTTTTTAATATAAAAGAGTTTTTGATATTAAAAATCAGTATATAATAATTGAAATTAATAACTAAATTTCTATAAAAAATTAAATACAATTAAAACTAAATGGTTAAATAATATTCACTTGTATAACAATTTTCTGTTAATAATATAATGTATTTATCTATTCCTATTAACATACAAATGAATAACAATTTAGTAGATTTTTTAATTAGAATAGTTTATTGTTAATATATAAATTTTTTTTTAATTTCTCATTTGGTATTTGAAATCATAAATAAACTACTTTAATATAAACTAACAATATCATATTAATTAAATAATCACATCGATTTGTAAATAACGAACAGTGCATCGATGCTTGAAGTATTTAGTTTTTAAACGAAGAAAGTATTAATTATTTTAGTAAGCAAATGAATAAATGAATGGCTACTTATTTCAACTTTATTATTCAATAAGCTATAAATGAAATATATTCATACTATTTATAAAATTTTATCAATGTGAGTTTGTATTTCTAATTCGAATATAAAATTATATTATCCATGTACAAGGTGCATATGTTAATGAACATATAAGTGATATATGTTGCTGGAATAAAATACTAATGATAATTAATTAAAATTTACTGATCTTGTATAATGTATGTTTAGTTTCCCACCAATTAACATAGATTATTGAGTTACTTATACATCATAATGTATCAATACAAACAAATTAAACAATATCAGTATTCTTAATTTTACTTTTTTTTTTTTTTTTTTTTTTTTTTTTTTTTTTTTTTTTTTTTTTTTTTTTTTTTGTAATGCTTTTCTATTTAATATGTACATTATTATTAAATCTATGCAATAATTTTGGCATTATTGATAATAAACATTATAATTTCTTAGATTAATGTTGCAGTATATTTATATAATCTAATTTAACGCTTACATTAGGTTCTACATAATGTAATAAAAACTTCGATAGATCAATACATCAATAGAAATCAGTTTCCCAAATATTTAACTGAAAATGATTATTTTCTAATATAAATGAACCATGAAAATTGGATTAAATTTAATACTAAAATTTATTCATTATGAAAAATATAGCATTTTTTCGTTTAATTTTCAATTTTATTATTTAACATTGCATTATATTAATTACAATTCCGAGGATGATGGTATAATAAATATCAGCCTGGATTATTAATTTCTAATTGTATTTTGTATAATTTTATTCTATTCAAATATGACAAAATTGATTTTGAAAAATAAATTATATTGAATTATCGAAATTTAAAAATATTAATGTTATTATTGTATGCAACAGTTAAATGAATTATTATAAAAATATGCTATAAAACTTTGATAAACAAATGTAATTAATTTTTGTAATTTTGTAAGTAGTGCATAGTTAAGTATAAAACATGTATAATATAAAATGGAAAGTATATAAATTTTATAATATAAGGTATA